ATATATATATATATATATATATATATATATATATATATATATATATAATTGATTTATTTTAAATTTTTAGGAACAAACGTGGTCTACAGAATTCAAAAAGACGAGCAGCTGTTGGCTGGTTTATCTGTGATTCGGGGAAATGTTCCCCAGAACATCACTCTGAGCTCAGAAACAGTGAAGCAGCTCGGCCCCAGCTGCCACCTCCTGACTCTTTATGCAACAAACATGGTCATGTTTGCAGAAGTTTCCACAATCCTGCAGGTAAACTGACAATAAAGACGTCTAAACACAAGAAGTATTCAATTTTGCGAATAAATGTCTCGGCTCTGCACGCATGAGTCATCATTTATAAAGGACATTTGTTTTAGAATCATTTCAGATTTACAGAATCATGCCTCAAAACAACAAAACCACCCACTTTGAATGTTATCAGCCATTAAATGTTTGTTATTAGTTGTTATCATCCCCATAGGTTGCCTTCAAACTGTCCCTCCTGTACCTAGCAGGCTCAGTAGGTTGTTATCACAGAATTATAAGGTTAGGGTTATATTTGAGCATAATTATAGTATTTTATATATTGCTGTACTGTATATGAATTGATCAGAATGTCGCTCATATCAATCAAACAAGAAACCCTCATATCCTCTCAAGTTCTTTTTAGATACCGAATTAAAGCCTTATGACTGTTAAATCTGGAATTAATTTCTCTTGTACACGAGTCCTCGAGGCTCAGTGGGATTAACCTGTATAAATAAAGCTTGCATTTGAAGTAAATCCTTGATCTCCAGCCTATATAGGTAAATTGTAAATAAATGTTTTAAACAAAGATAAAAAAAAAAGCTTCTGGTTTTAGATGCAGGCAAAGTAACCTGCTAATTTTTTGATTAGACATTTGACTGAGTCGTTAAAATTTTAATTTAAGCTTTAATTATTAAATCAAATCTGCCAGTTGGTGGTTATCATGCTAACACAATAAATCCATAACTGTAATAGTCGTCTTTTTTTTTTAATATATTCCCTCTGTGTTTAATTTTCTGTACCTAAATGCCGTGTGAGGTTTTTAAAAACTAAAAACTTTTATCCACAGAGGTCTAAAATGATAAATATCTCTTACATAAGTCCAGCGTTCTTCATGACAGCTAATGCTCTCGATTTATTACCAACATTTTAAAGCAACTAAGTTTTTACCTCCATAACATTTTGATTTGTCCTGTTTTTAATCAATTTTCTGTGTGGGCTTTGGAAAAACAATTTGTTGTTAAACACAATTATACCATTTTAGAATTTTTATTTTATTTTATTGTTTTTAATTTTTGAATTTCTAAACAAAAAATATCAAAATATAATTTAAAATGATAAAAAAAAGTTAAAATGATCTTTAAAAACAAAGATAAAATACCAGAATCAAAGTTGTTAATTTGAGAATAAATCAGAATTAAAAACAAACTTTCATTGGCACATAAACCTACGATTGGGGGATGTTTGGTGGTGATTTTATACTTTTTAATAAATTTTATTAAAACACTTATTTTTAGCACAGACACCTCAACTTACATTTGGAGTCACACACAAACTGTAAATATCTTTAGTTTTACAGGACAGAATTAATGTTGTTGTAAAATATTTTTGTAAACCAGTTGATTTTATAGTTTTTTGAGGTCAACACTTTATAAATGTTTGAGACTTGTGTTTTAAAGGACTGAGATTTAGGTTTTACTGCAGCAGGAATAATAAATCCCACAAAAATCAATATGATGCTTTATGGTGATTAACTGTTTAAACAATTTAAAAAAATGCAACTATACAGTAGTCCCTTGTTATCTTGTGAGGGTTCTGTTCCAAACCCGTCTGCAGTAAGTGAAATTCCGAGAAGTAGCGACTTGTGTGTGTGTGCGTGTGTGTGTGTGTGTGTGACCCTTCCCACACTCTTGAAATGTTCTAAACACTTAAACATATGTCATTTTAACAACATACGTATAGTACTGTACTTTGTATATCTAGCTACTAAATTTTACTTACTGGGCTCTGCAGAACAGCAGCGGCTCGGTTTGTTTCTGGTCCAACTCTGTTCCGTTTCTGCAGACGTACAAAGCCCACAATCAATGTTCTAAACTCTTAAACCTACAAATTTTACTAACCAGCATGTCTCCACTTCGAGGTCCTTGTCTGCCAGTTGAAAAACATGAAAAAAGTCCCATTGAGCTTCATATGGACCATCGGCCACGTGCGTCTGCTCGGAGTCCTATGTGGGCCGGCTACCAGCTCTCAAGATTCATCGATGGTTCTGGAAGTCTAATTCTGCTCTGGTTCTGGTCCGATTCGGTGGGTTCAGTGTGGCTTCTCCGATCCGCTGAGCACCAATCAGATCAAAACTTTACCTCTGTTTTTTCAGCAGAAGGAAACGGGACTTTTGGGTGGGGCCCTGTTTCCTTCTCGGAAATGTGGTCATTATGAGTGGGAATAGAGTGGAGGCTTGCTGAGAGAAGACTACAAAATGGGGGCGCCTGTCCAAAGTATTTTATTTTTTTGTTAACTTTTTACTGTGCAGTACTGTATGCAGTACTGTTCCAATAATATGAGCAATATTAAAGTTGACAATCATGCTCTGTACATTTTTGTGTACAATATTATGTACGTCCACAAACGGTGATAGAGCAAGTCCGCGAAAGCCAAACTGCCACTGCGAAGTAGTGAGACAATTGGATTTTTAAAAAATGCAACAAATACGCTTGAGTTTAGTGTCACATTTATTCATGCTCGACTTTGTCCTTGTATACAGTAGTAACATTATAGTATTTTGAATAGTTTTCAACATCTTGGCATTTAGGTTGAAGGGTTTAATCTTAAAACTGCAGAAACTTCTGAGTGACCCTAATACACTGACAACAACCCAACACTGATTAGTTTAGTAGTTCATTTTTAGGTCTGTGACTGAATCATCAGTGACTAAAGTTTGAGTTTTATTAAAACGGGTGTGTGAAAAAGAAAGGTCTGTTTTGTAATTTTTTTTGGAACTGTAGGTTTGTATTTTGGAGAAGATTTCCGGACTTCGAGCCACCATCCTGAAAGAGCGTGACGACTGTTCAGGCTCTCCGTGCATCACTCTTGGTGTTTTGTTTGATCGGGGAGAACCTGTGCAGTTACACTTCACCCTGACCGGAGACGATGGCTCGTTCTATGAAACCAGAAAAATGAACAGAAGGAGGGAGATTTTTCACATCAGACACCCACTTCAAGGTATTTCATGAATCTCAAACACTGAAAATTTTAAATACATTATAAATATGATCAATCTCTTTATGCTGTGTTTTAAAAGGGTCTATCCGAGTGAAAATGAGAGCCTGGAATATTTTCTCGTCTCTGGAGGTTGAGATGTTTGGTTCTGGTGACAAAAACTCAGTCACTAAAGGAAAAGGCACCAACAGACGCTTCTTGAATTTTAACAACAAAAGAGTATTTTACTTCTTACCACTTGAATTATAAGAGAAATATAACAAAGTTTATATTCTATTAATTCATACAATAATAATAAATCTTGTGTTTGATTTCAGGGGAAGCAGCATCTAAGAGTTGTACGATCTATCACTACATGGGAAATCAGAGCAGATCCTTCGACTTCAGTGAATTCCCAACATAACACAATCACACTTGAAGCCTATGATAAAACCTTACCAGCAGGCACAAAAACTTACAAGTGGGAATGCCGTAAGTTTCCTAAATCTTTTTATGTTTTTATCAAAATGTGGTTTTATATATTTTGCATGTACCAATCATGAACTCTTCATAAAAGAATGACGCGGTCTCTCATTTTGCAAACTGAAGTCAGTGTCGACAACTATATCTGACTACATCTTACCTGTGAACCACACCACAGGGGCTGCTGTGGCTGAGTGGTTAGAGCAGTTGTCCTCCAATGCAAGAGTTCGGGGTTTGATTCCACCAGCAGTCACATACTGAAGTTTCCATGGGCAAGACATTGAACCCCTCATTGCCTCCGGTGTGTCCCATCAGTGTTAACCCTATCAAAAAAACAAAGAGTCACTAATCTGGGTGTGATAATGGACCCTTCTCTGAAACTTAACAAGCATGTAAACATGATTGTTAAATCATGTTTCTTCCAACTGAGGCTGCTGTCTAAACTGAAGCCCATACTGTCCAATAATAACATGGAGACAGTAATACATGCATTCATTACATCTAGACTTGATTACTGCAATTCGCTCCTGTTTGGTATCAGTCAGTCAGACCTCCATAGCACGACTACAACTGGTCCAGAATGCAGCAGTCCAATTTTTAACCAGTACAGGCAAAAGAGAGCACATTACACCAGTTTTGGCCTCACTGCACTGGCTACCGGTTCACCTGCGAATCCAGTTTATAATACTCCTGTATGTCTACAAATCACTGAACAGTCCCCCCCCCTTCCCCCAATCTCTCTGATCTGCTACAACCGTATGTCCTACCACGTTCCCTGAGGTCAGTGAACCAATTGCTCCTCACAGTTCCAGGAACTTGTCTTAAGCACAGAGGTGACAGGGCCTTCTCTGTAGCAGGACCAAGACTTTGGAACGAGTTACCTCTGCTTGTCAGACTGACCCCCTCCCTCTCGGTTTTCAACTCCCGTTTAAAAACTCACTACTATTCAGTAGCTTTCAACACCAGATGACATGTGTTTTGAACCTGTTTGCTCCACACTGGTTTGTCGTCATATTTATTATCTGCATCGATTTTATGTCTATATTTTTGATTTACTTCATTTTGTATATTGCTTCGTGTGTTGTCTGTTGTTCTGTCTGTACAGCACTTTGGTTGGCCTTGTAGCTGTTTTAAGTGCTCTATAAAATAAATGGTATGGTATGGTAGCGTATGAATGTGATAAAGCTCTGATTATTCTTTGTATAGATACAGTAGAGTGCTGTATGAATGGGTAAATGAGAGCACAGATTGTGTTGTCAAGCACTTTGAGTATCTTGATGTGCTACATATGTGCAGTCCTATTACCTTATGCTCTTTGTGATTTTAGAGCTGTTTTAAATTATGATACAATGTGAAATAGTAAACCATAACTTGATTTAGAGCTAAACTGAAAGCTTAAAAGTTTGTGACAGCTTGACAATACTTTTAATGCTGAATCTTTCCCCTTTTTTCCATCAGAAAAACAAACACCAAAATAAGGTTACACCATCTGAAATTGAAACTTAAATATCAAACATCAGAAACAAAAAAAAAAAAATTGTGAACTAATTTTCTGTCTGCATGTATTCTTGTCACCCACTGCGAATTGTTGCTGCTGATCTGTTTCAATGTTCATGTGTTCATGCATGCTCATCTGCTCACACAGACTCATGTTCATGTTTGTGCTGATGTTCAATGTTTTTATGTTACGAGTGCTTAGTGTATATTTAGTTGATGTTTTTCTTAGTTCATATCTTAGATGTTATTACTGTTTTTCTTATACATTTTATTGTTGGATGTAACTGGGACCCTGTGTACATAATTTCGCTCCACCACATGTACCACATGAGGTGCGAATGACAATAAAGAAACGCTGACTCTCTGACTCTGACTGAATCGGATGACTGTGAGCATCAGTGTGGTTTTATGCTGAGAAAGAGCATCACAGATGTCATCTTTGCTTTGAGGATGCTGATGGATAAGTACAGAAAGAGTCAGAAAGAACTCCATTGTGTCTTTGTGGATTTAGAAAAAGCATATGACAGGGTGCCGAGGGAGGAGGTGCGGTATTGGAAATCTGGAGTGGCAAAGAAGTATATTAGACTGGTACAGGACATGCATGAGGACAACAGGACTCCTTACGAGTGACAGATATGGATACGAGTAGAAATGGGATCATCAGAGGTACTTTGTGATTGAACAACTGGGAGATAAAGTTAGAGAGGCCAGATTGAGATGGTTTGGCCATGTCCAGAGGAGGGACAGTGGGTATATTGGTAGAAGGATGTTAGAAATGCAACTGCCAGGAAAAAGACAAAGAGGAGATATATGAATTAAGTTATAGAGGACATGGGAGCAGTTGAGGTGACAACAGAGAGTGATGGAGGAGGAGGACTCACTGTGGTGACCCTTGAAGATGAAACAGAGGAAATCAATTTTATACTGTTTGAATAAACCTCCTAATCGCCTGTTTGAAAATATGATTGAGTCCTAGACTTTAGTTGCACGCTGCATGTATACTGACTCCATGTTTTGATTCACAGCGAGCTGTGGTGACTGCAAAAACATACAACCAAACTCAGTATATACCATTCAATCACAATGCCTTCCGAATCCATTTAACTTTGACAAGTACGACGTGACGGTGAAAGTAGCTGAACTGGACCAGGGTACACAATCCATTTGTGTCACCCTCACTCCACCGTTAGACACAGACAATAATGTAAGGTAGGTGAAGTTTTCAAAACTCAGAATTGCACTTTTATCCTATCTTGTCATCTGTGGTGTGTCTCTGCAGCTCTGTAGTTTTTGTTTAGTTAAATTTTTTTTTTTTTTTTTAAGAAAAAAATGTGTTCTGACGTGAGTCATTGATGGACACCTTTATAGAAAGTTTTATTTGTATTTTTATTCATTCGAACCAGAACGCAGACAATAGGCAAGTTTAAAAGATTAATAAACTGCTTCTGGTGGAGGTCTCCGTCCTTGGGCCGGCACAATCTGCGGTGATAGGAGAGTAAAACAAGAGTCCTCTGGGAGTGTTCAGATGATTTTCACCAACCTTCAGCGACAGGTGAGGAAGGGACTCCTTGAAGTTGTTGGTAAGGGTGATGTCACCACTGGTGAAGGTGAGCCAGCTTTGATGCACGGCAGAGCAGCAGCAATGAGAGAGATCCAAAAGGTAGGTCCGAAGAAACAGGCAAGGGTCATACATAGATGGTCAGAGGTCTGAAGCCAAACTTGATTCAAGATCCAGAAGATGTGGTTGTTGGGGAGGAAGCAGAGGTCGTTACCATAAGCAGAGCAGAAAATCCAAAGCAGACAAGGAATGAGCAGGACGAGGAATACGTGAGACAGGCAAGAAGTCAAAACCATGAAGACAAACGGGACTGAGGCAAGAACGCTGGACATTTACTCACTGTGAGGCTTTCAATTATCTGGCATGGAAAACTGAGACTTAAGTAGAGCAGTGAACAGGTGAACGGTATGAGGACTGATTGTAGAGGAGAGAACAAGCGGGGGCATTTCTTGTAGCGAACATAGCAGGAGGAGCTGAGGGATGGGTGATAGTCAACACAGGAGCATGGCAACATAAACAAGGGCATGAGGAAACAGAACATGGCAGGCTGGGACAGAAGTGTGGCAACTAATCTTTTAATTTCTTATATTATAGACTCACTTGCACTGATGGCTGTGATCAACCAAACCAAAACAAGGATCCAAATATTGTATTGAATTGCAATGATTGCTCAAACATTGTGTGGTACATAGAGGACATAAGAGATGAGGACCACTGGGATGTTGTAAGTCTGACTTCATTTGTTGCTTAAAGGATCTGGTGAAGAAGAGTTGACTTGATAACTGTGCTTGTTTATTTCTTTACAGAAAAATACAAAGGATTGCTACAAAGAGGCACAGAAAATTCCTCTAACTGAAAAAGAAGACCATAAATCTAGTTATAAAGTGAAAAAACAAGACATTTCAAATGCCAAAACACCGAATGTTACTGTTGTAGTAATCTATACCAGTAAGTATTAGTTAATCTGCTGCCTTTGGTTTAATTTATTTATACTGCTTATTCTTTGGTAATAACTCTTGTGTTATAAAGTGATTGTGACAACTTAAAAGAATACCATTTGCTTAACTGATTTGAAATAAATACATGGTTTGAACAAATTACTGTTTTAAAATGTCATTTTCTTTCTCCAAAGGACAAAACGTTCTGTATTACAAAACCTACAAAATAAAAACATCATATTCAGGTACACCAGACCGAACCACCAAACCACCACATGTCGACTCCACCTCATCAACATCTTTGAG